CTCTTCCAAACCCCACCCCGTGACCTCCTCAATGCAGCTCTTTCTTTCCCCCCCAGAAATAGTGTTAATGCTCTGAAGGATCAATTCCTTTTATCTCAGCCATTATTTGTGCACATTTATATTTCATGGCTCTGTCTGTGCAGAGGAATTTCACCCCCAAGCCCCCAGACTGCAGCTCTCCCATTCCATGCCAGGACACAGCCTGGGGGTTCCCTGGGCCACTGTTGGGCCTCATTAACTTGTGCCTCTGCAGAGCCAGAGCTGGGCTGGGGAGCAAAGGGACCTTCAGTGAGCTGGGAGCTGTATTTTCCTTGCTCTGTCCATGTTTCCACCCCGTGGATAATATTTTTAGAGCCCTATTTCATCACTTTGTCCTGCAGAAATTCGTATCCCACTGCTCTGTGATCTCCTGGGAAAGACAAGCTTTTCCTGGTAGTGGATCACTGCCCTCACCTGCAGGAGCTGAGAGCCCAAAATATTTTCCACAAGCCAATGAAACCCAAGGAATTTCAGAGTCTGGCCTTCACTCCATTACTGCAGTCACTGGATCTGGAGATACAAAGGAGCATCTCTTTAAGGAGCTTACAAAGCATCTTGAAGATAATATGGCAGATTGAAATGCTGTGTATCCCAGAATCCCAGAATCATCCAGGTTGGAAAAGCCCTCCCAGCCCCTGCCAATGCCTGACAGTTCTTTCCATGAACCCCCTCCAACCTGGCCTGGGACACTCCCAGGGATCCAGGGGCAGCCACAGCTTCTCTGGGCAGCCTGTGCCAGGGCCTCCCCACCCTCCCAGCCAAGAATTCCCTCCCAATCTCCCATCCATCCCTGCCCTCTGGCAGTTGGAAGGTGTCCCTGCCCAAGGCAGGGGTGGCACTGGATGAGCTTGAAGGTCCCTTCCCACCCAAACCAGTCTGGGATTCCCTGATCCCATTCCCTGATCTGTGTCACCCACGTGCAGCCACAACCTGCAGCTCCCAGGGGATGAAGTGGGAGAGCTCCTGGACTGGCTGTGGAAGTGCTGTGACAGGAGCACAGCGTGGCCAGAGTGGGCCAAACCACCTGGGACAGCGTTTTCCAGGCAGGGAATTCTGTACTATCACCTCTCCAAGATTCTGCTGCTGCTGTGGAAACCTCTGAACTCCCACTCGTGTGCCCTCCTCCCATCTGAGCTTATTCTTGCCCTTTGCTGCCTTTCCTGTTCTTGAGAGCTGGGGGTGCTCACCTGGAGAAGAGAAGGATCCAGGGAGACCTTGGAGCACATTCCAGAGCCTGAAGGGGCTCCAGGAGAGCTGGAGAGGGACTGGGGACAAGGCCTGGAGGGACAGGACACAGGGAATGGCTTCCCACTGCCAGAGGGCAGGGAGAGGTGGGAGATTGGGAAGGGATTCCTGGCTGGGAGGGTGGAGAGGCCCTGGCCCAGGTTGCCCAGAGAAGCTGTGGCTGCCCCTGGATCCCTGGAAGTGTCCAAGTGTCCAGATGGATGGGGCTTGAACTCCCCTTCCTCATCATCTGTAAAATATTTCTAAAAGCAAACACGAAAGGATTATTCTTTTGTCATAAATTACAGGATGGGTTTGTTTTTGTTTTTTTTTCACAAAAGCAAGAAATTGTCAATAACTCTTTTGTGATTCACTTAGACAGGAGGTTGTAGTTCCAGGAGTTGGGAGAGGTATTAGGAGATCCCAGATTATGGAAAGGGTGGGAGGGTCTCTTATAAAAGCAGGAGAAAACTTGCACAGACAGAATTGCCAAGGAAAGCTGAAGAAAAGCAGCTGTGTCAGAAGGTGGGATGGGGAGGACTGTTCTCCTTTAACAAAAAATATATGGGACAATAAATTAGTGGTGAAGGTGCCTGTGAAGCTCCTCAAGCCTCGTGTAAAGGCTCTGGTTTTTCTCCTCTTAAATCTGTTTTCCTCCTGGTTTAACTCCCCTTTTTCCAGCTCCTTCCTTTGCTCTGGGCAGTTGGTTGTCTCCAGGCCTGGATCCAGTTTGTGCTCCTCACAGACCCAGCTCTGTTCACTGGGCTGTTAAACCCAGCCCAGGGCCCTGTGCCAGCCCAAACACAGCACCTGGCACACCAAAAACATCACCTGGTGAATGAAAAACATCACCTGGTGAATGAAAAACATTTCCTGGCAAACCAAAAACGTCACCTGGTGAATGAAAAACATCTCCTGGCAAACCAAAAACGTCACCTGGTGAACGAAAAACATCTCCTGGCAAACCAAACACATCACCTGGCAAACCAAACACATCACCTGG